AAGCTGTATAAATTTATTTTTTGGCAACTTGTTTGCAAAATATTGCTTTTTCTAAGTACCTAAATAAACCTTACTTAATTAAAAACTAGATTTAAAAAGAATAGTACTTTCAGAATACACTGAAGAGTAATTAATCTAGGTCGAATTGTGAGTGGCTACATACTAGAGGCATACTATTACCAGTACACAGAGTGGACTTCAACCACATCAAATGTTCGACGAAAGTTCGGCCTGCAACGGATATATATAATACAAGCACGCAGAACACCAGCACTGCAGAGAGAAGGAAAACTTGACACAAACCCTATACTAACCCGTCTGGCCAGCGTGGTATAGTAGGCCAAAACCTCATTTTTAAGGAGAGGCCTATGTCCAGCAGTGGACTATTAAAGGCTGTTGATGTGATGTGTGATGAAGCACATGCTTGGGACGGACAATATATGATTAGACATGTTTCTGACTGTGCTATGGAAACCAGACTGCCGATAAACATAGTTACTTCTAAATGGCTACATCATCATCAGCCTATCGCAGTCCACTGCTGGAAATAAGCCTCTCTCAAGTTTTTGGGCTTCTCGCATCCAGCTCCTGCCAGCCATTTTGCGCAAATCGTCACTCCACCTGGCCTGTGGGCGTCTTAATGGATACATATTTTAGATAAATTAGATCCAAACACAGAACAAAAAAATTATCGTTTTCATCACACAATATTATTTGTTCTGGGTGGGAATCGACCCTACATAGTAAGGATCACAAGCTCACAAGGCGAATAGGCCAGTTACTATTATAATTTTATAAAATAACCTGAAAATATTAGGTCTTTACCTATGAAATTGCCGTTTTGTATGCAATAAGTGAAAGTACTTATTTTTTCAAACTTTTTTATTTCTGTTATTCGAAGTAATCACCCATGCAATCGACGCATCTTTGCCAACGCATTGGCAGTTTATTGATGCCCTTCTTGTAAAAATCAGCTGGACGGGAGGCAAAAACTCTTCAAAGGCATTTTGTACTGCCTCTCGGGAATTGAATTTTTTACCCACTAAAAAGTTGTCTAAATTTTGGAAAAAGTAATAGTCGGTAGGTGCAAGGTCTGGTGAGTATGGCGGATGAGGGAGAGCTTCCAACCCCAGCTCTTGCAGCTTGGAGACTGTCTGTTGCGCAGTATGGGGTCGCGCGTTGTCGTGAAGGAGCAGTGGGGACGACCGATTGACCAATTAGTGGGTAAAAAATTCAATTCCCGAGAGGCAGTACAAAATGCCTTTACTTTCACTTATTGCATACAAAAAGGCAATTTCATAGGTAAAGACCTATTATGTTTTTGACAAGTAAGTCTTTTGTACACAATCCAAGATACTTTACATGATCTGTCTGTGGAACTTTAATGTTGTTTAATGTGACTGATGAACTGACTGATATATCTAAGCGCGACGATTAAAGCGTAAAATACATCAAGATTTAATCCAATTACAGTAAATATATCTACTGTCAAAACAAAGAGGACGTTACACAGGTCACATACTGACGCGCCAACGTTGGCACCAACCAACATACTGCTGAATGTACCATGAGGGAGACCCAGGGAGACAGATTGTAGTAAATCAAGAGGAAAAAAAAACATTAACATTAATCTACGGTATAACACCTCTTTACACGATTACACACAAAACGTTTAATAAAACGTGACACCCTATGATGGTTTCATTGTTTTTGATATTTTTTGTTTTAAAATTCAGAAATTATGTGTGAAATTGTTTTGTCATTTATCATTAACTTTTGCCAAGTCATTTTTCGTCACGTTTTAACTTGGTTTTATCTTTAACAATTTGTTCAGGATGTAAATGTTTATCGCTATTGTACGCAATCATATTAATTATCCATACTTATATTATACGTATGGAATACTGAAAGTCTCTTGATCTAGCCACTAACAATAAAATAATGAAAAAGCAATTATGGAATTCGAAAATCCAACTCTTTGCTTTGCTTGTGCTTTGTTTGGCATTGTAATGAGCCAGGTGCAAAACATTTTACATGTGCATCTGTAGTTAGGCAGCTAGTTAACAGTTAGTTTTTTTTATGTTAGAAGGGGCAGACGAGCAGACGGGTCACTTGATGGAAAGTGACCATCGCCGCCCATGAACGTCTGCAACTCAGGAGTTACAAACGTTTTGCCAGCCTTTTAGGAGGGAGTACGCTCTTTTAACGGAGTAAGTTTAATGGAGAACAATCATTGGCTCTCTATAATATCGTGAAAGGTGAGGAAATCTGGGTGAACTGTTTTAAACCCAAAAGAGAGAGCAGAGTGGGTTTTCCTTTTGAAGATTTGCCGACGAAAGTTAAGAAAAGTCAAAGCATTGGAAATAAAATGGTTGCCTCTTTATTTTAATAAAAATATTCAAAACTATAGTTTAACTAAATCGATTCCATTTTTAAATACGTATCTATGTATATATTTAATCATTTAAGTTCTTATCCTTATTAGTCCTTATCTTTATTTAAGTGCTAAGATTATGAAAGAAATTAAGCAAGAAAATCAATATTTAGTATTTATTTCATTAGAACCCGTTTATTCTATTGAAAATTGTTGTAATTGTAATAATGATTTTAATAAATTAACAACAAAAACTTTATCCGACACTTCAGTTTGGGCGTCGACGCCCTCATCTTGTTAAATTTCATATACACAGCAAACGTCTACCAAAATGCGAAAGAAACTTCGTTCCGACTGGGGGTCCATAGACCACTTTTTATTAATGATTTCTATTATAGATGGTGTTATAACAAACTACACATAGGCATAAAAAAAATAAAGTTTTAAATGTGAGAATTTTGTGAAATTAAGTTGAAAGATATACAAAACGATAAGTATACAATACTGATTTAATTTAAATAATAATACAATATTATTAAGTAATTACATAATAAACAAAAATTTTTTTTTACAGACAATGATTGTTAAATGTTGATGCACAGGTTCAAGGTTATAATTCACAGATGACGTAATAATAAATAAAAATAATGTTACAAATTAGATTATTACAGATAGAGGAAGGACATAAAGGATTGTATGGATAGGTATGCTCGTTTGCTGCTTCACTACTTACATTAAAGAAAGAATCGGTTTGCGTTCCGCTTTTGTATCGCCACCCTGATTTCGAAACTAACTAAACTATCCATACGGAAACTCTCGCCTCCCCCTTCCCGCCCCATACTCCTGACAGAGTTTCAGAGGCGAAAATACTTGTAAGATAGTTGTAAATCCTGTTAATTATTGCAATTGTATTTTTAAAAGGCGCTTTGGTGCTTAGCGTTTGATTATCAGAATATTAAAAATTTGTTTCTTTATTTGTGCTGTAAGACGTTTCTTTTTGCCAAGTTTTCGCCCTAAAACCTATAGGGTACTTCCGGTTGACCTAGAATTGCCTAGAATTTTGGTTAAAAGCAAGGTTAAGGCAGCACAAGTAAAAAGAAAATTCTGAAAAATAAAAATTAAGGTATTTTACCTACAAGTTTTCGCAAAAATCGAAATTTGCCCATATCTTTTTATCGCGTTGACACAGGAACTTGATTTTATACACCTAATAAAGACTAAGACCTCAGTATCTGCTATAAAATTCACCACCGATTTTTTTAGGAACGGGTAGAGGTCTACCCGTTCCTGAAAAAATGACACATTGACACATTGACAGACGGACAGACAGACAAGAAAGTGATCTTATAAGGGTTCCTTTTTTAACTTTTGAGGTACGGAAGCCTAAAAAGGTACAGTTACTATCAGAATATGAGTAAGTATGCTGGGATTTTACACCTAATCTACTTAATGTATTTATTATTAGCACTTACGTCATTCATGAGGTCCGTTTATAGACCCTATATGGCCATATTTTTGTGTAACAATTTGTATACTAACAATCTTGAAATTTCTATTGCGCGATCCAGTCATCAAATTTGATAGTTAGTTATCATAACATCCTCTTACAAATTCTCAATGGTGTAGTTGTTGGAGGTGGAGCCTTATTTGATTATACCATGGCGAAAATTGTTCTGTAACCTTATTGCCTTGTGTTAAGGACACTTTTACACAGTCAACAGGTTATGAAATTCAAATCATTTTGTCTTGTTACTTGCGCTGTACACTTGATTAAAGAGTATTCAATTTGGGAAGTCATCGAAGATATAATTATTACTAAACATTTTTAGTAAATCTATAAATTAAGGCGTAAGACTTAACAATGGAGAGTCACATCTAATGATCCATAAAATCCAGGGATATCGATATCACGACTGCACGGTTGGCGTAGTGGTTTAAGCGGTCGCCACGCTGCTTTACTACGCTGAGTGATGTGGGTCCGATCCCTACATGGGACGACACTTTGTATGTTATCCACAAATTGCTTTTCTGAGTCTGGGTGTTCTTTGTGTTCGTTTCATATATGTTTGTAAACTCCCCCGCGACAATCGCGAAAATCAATTGGTTTGCTATTCTTTGAGCCCCCCTCTCAGAATACACTCGTTTAAAAAGAACGAAAGAATCATGAAAAAGAGGAAGAAAGTACTTATCACCAGATTTCTGTGAAGCCACTCACACTCCGGTTGAGCCGGCAAACATACCTGCTACTCCGAACTATTGTTATTGTCCGGAAGTCTGAGATACCCAAAGTTAAAACCTAGATCTAATCTAATGTTTGCAAAATCAGTCACAAAGGCAAAGTCATAACTCAAGTGACGTCATTTGGTTATTTTTTTACCCTGCAAGATAGGAAAGTATAGGGAGGAAGATGTTACCTACCATGATGATCCCATGATACCTTTGGTGATAGAAGACCGGCTCTATTATACGGAGTGAAATAAACATAAACTTAATAATTTAAAAAAAGTCTTTACTAACCATAGCAAAAAAGTTACAATAGCAGCACTAATATCTATCAATTTTTAAACATTAGGTATAAAAAAACGAACACACCCATCTATTTCCACACCTCGCACCTGATGCTTACCGCCGACCGCGTAACCTCCTTTCATCCATACCATCCGCACCGCGACCTTGATAATTATTTTCTGTAATACCAATAGACAATACCAGTGTTTTTTGTCGACGCTCGGTCAGCATGTCATCGCAGTACCCCCACTTTCTACGTAGAGGGGACACAAATGAATTACTACAATCGTGCTGCACCGCCATTCATATACAATCGTACTTTTGACATAAACCTACGTCTGTCGCCAGGAAAAAAAAAGTAAAAAAAACCCCACATTCGGTTAAACGGCTTCAATAAAATTCGAAATTCAAAAATTCGAATTTTATTTTTTTTCAATTTTTTTTTTGGAAGTGCCAATTGTTTTTATTTTGATTTATTTTATATTTGTGTGCGTTTTTTTTAATAAGGCTACAGCCGGATAGCCCTGTGTGGGGGCTAAGGATTATTGAGATAACCTAAAAAAATCGTGCTCTTTGCATAATAAAGTCGTTGCCGACGGCAATTTTTATGTAATCCAATGTAATAGTGTTGCATAAGAATTATTTTGGCCTCATATTTTGGCGGTTACGATAGTCAGCGATACGCCATGGAGACCGACGCTCTTTCCAACTAAAAAAAAACAACTGTGCAATACATTTTTAATTAAACAGTTCAGTGTTTGTGTCAAGTGTTGTGTTTTATAAATTTTTGCAAGTAAGTTTTTTTTTGTTTTGTTTTTATTTGTTGTGAAAGTTGTGGTTTAATGTGTGTTTTGTATGTATGTGTTGTATGGCTGTCTCTAAGTTAATACGTTGCCCAATTTTACTGTTAGATAATATACATTGCGATACTATAACCTACTTTTTTTAAATATCATTCTTGTTGAATTAGATGTCTAAATGTGTTATTTTGTAATAATGTTAATCAGTTTGGCAATTTTATCTCTGTAATTTATTGTATAATATCGAGATATTATTAAGATTTGTCATTAACATAATTTATGAGTTCTTCCATATTATATCTATTAACATACTTAAAAAAAATCCAAACAGCCCATTCGGCTTAAATAAAATAATTAGGTCAAATAAAAATTCTGCAAAATTGGCATTTTAACTACTAAACTGTATTCAAATCTATTTATATTAAAACTATATCGTTAAGAAAGTTGGCAGAGTAACAACTATTTCTTAAATCGAGCCTTGGAGTCTAGAATGCAATAACAGTTCTGCCATTTAGTTAGTCAATAGCGCGTTGATGTCTTTTGTATGGAGAACACGCGCGGCATAATTTTTAACTGATTATCGAGCAATGCAGTGCAATACAGCCTACATTTAAGGTACTAGAGGTCTGAGTGATGAATATCAAGAATAATTCAAATATTTAGTTAATATTGAAGAAGTATTCTTTCGAATAAAATAGTTTCATTTGATGGCTTTGTACTGACGTGTTCACAGGATCGAATCCCACTTAAACTACTAATTTATGTTAGTTTGTTTATACAAATATGTTATTGTGTTTTTTATGCAATTTCAATATTTTTATTAAATAACCGGAATTTGAGATCTTCTCTTTTTGTTATGAATTTTACTGACTTTTGCTAGGAAAGACAATATTTTTCTAATACCCTCCATAAAGCTCTGAACTTCATCTTTAGTACATTGTTTTACCGGCCGTCTGATCCCAAACTAGGCAGAGCCTGTACTATGGTAACCATACTGCTAAGAAACATACTTATATGTTTCTAAATACAAACATATTATTGATAAATTACACCCAGACACAGAACAACTGATTGTGCTCATCACACAAATATTTGCTCTGATAATCGAACCCACGACCTCTGATTTAGCATTCAGGGTCACTATCCACTACATCAACAGGCTTGACCATTTATAAACGAATTTATTTTTCGGACATCTGACACACAACGCTATCTGGTTTAAACTAAGCAGAGCTTGTACTATAAAAGCTAACTTGAGTGATACCACACTTATATACTTTTTTTTGTAAATACATACATATAATGCTTAGTAAACACCCAAACTCCGAAACAAATATTTGTAGATCATACAAACATTTGGTGCGACCCAGGAATCGAACTCGAGACCTCGGGTTCGATTCCTCCATCATTCGCATACGCAACCATTACGCCACCGAGGTCTTTACGAACCCGTCAAACCCACAAAGTCTATACCAACCCGTCTGGCCAGCGTGGTATAGTATAAATAATTGTGTGATGAACATGATCATTTGTTCTCTGTCTGAGTGTCAATTAGTATAAAAGGAGATTTAGTATGTTTATTAGCAGTATGAGTACCATAGTATATAGGCTTTGAATAGTTTGGGATTATAATAATAATAATAAATATCTTTATTGTACACCAGGTATAAATATATAAAGATTAACTTAAGCTAGGTTAGACAGGTACAAATGGCGGCCTTATCGCTCAGAGGCAATCTCTTACAGGCAACCTTGGTATGGAGAGCAAAACATAAAGGCAAGGAGGTGTAGGGTAGTGGCTGGTGTACTAAGAAAATATTAATATTATTATTAGTAGATTTGAAAAGTTATTTATAAATTATTAGTATCGTGGTATAAACACATTATAATATAAAATTATAAATGCGAACTCTGTTTATATGTCAGTCGGTTAAGTCCAAAAACGCTGAAGCAATTTAGTCACGAAAATAAATATTAAATGTAAAGAGTATTGAATATTTAAATTTACACTTGATGTCTTTGTTAAATTACCATATTATTTATTTACCTGACATGGTAATTAAACAAAGCTATTTTGCTATATTTAGACTTTTACAAAATTTATAATATGCAAATGCTGACCCGACATTTTGTTCAAATTGTACTGTACGTTTATTTATTTATTCATAAGAACTAAAACACATACACTTGACTGCCTCGGTGGCGCAGTGGTAGCGTATGCGACTGCTGTTTTGAGGTCTCGGGTTCGATTCCAGGGTCGGACCAAATATTTGTATGCTCTGCAAATATTTGTTTCGGAGTTTGGGTGTAAAGTATCAAAGTATTCTATCAGGCAATCTAGGTTTTATAGTACAAGCTGTGCTTTGTTGGCTTAGTCCGTTAGTATTATTATTATTTTTACCGGAAAATATAGACAAAATCAACGATGGCTGGCATTATAACATAAGAATACATACATATATCAATATTATTTTTTATTAAAATATTGATTATGAAATAACAGCTCAATTTACCGCAAATACAATACCTAATAGTTACTTGTCTATACTACTAGGCCGCACATCATACAGGTCATCATTTTTATATTCGTTGATATGACAAATATTTGCAAAGATAGTGTATCCAACCACCAAATTATATGATAACAGCTGAATTTACCACAAATAAAATAGTTTTTTTTAAAGACAACTCCCGCATTAGGAATATGTCATGTGTCGCGGGGGACTTTACAAATATACATGAAACGGACACAAAGAACACACCGACTTAGAACAACAATTTGTGGATCACACAAAGTGTCGTCCCATGTGGGGATCGGACCCACAACACTCAGCGTAGTAGTGAGCGGCGTGGCGACCGCTTAAGCCACTACGCCACCTAATAGTTGCTTGTCTTTACGACCGGGCCACACATCATACAGGTCATCATTTTTGGATTGGTTAATATGACATAGTTCTAATCAAATAAATAAATTAATCCAATATGATGAAATTCGACCTACAATTTTTAACATGCAAATATAATATTATACTTATAACTATCATAAATTTCTGCAATCGGAAGACGGTGACCGTTTTCCGTACATAATTATTGCGAAACTTAAAACTTACACTATTCCTTATGTTGGTTTATTGGTTAGTGACTCTGACTGCTAAGCTTTAGGTCGTGGGTCTGATTTCCACCCAGGACAAATAATTGTGTGATGAGCAACGATCATTTTTTCTGTGTGTGGGTGTTTTTATATATAACTTGGGATCCGCTCCGGCTTCGCACGGGTGCAACGTAGATACTACTAATGCGGCGTCATTAATTATACTTATACATCTTTAATGCAATATTTATAGGCCCGCTCCGATCTTGCAGGCCGCTGCCACCCGGACGGACGTACTGCTCGACAGTAATTGGGCCCCGCAAACCTCTAATATCTTCTATAATATTCATTATTAACGATATGCTGTTAAGAGCAATTTTAATAAGGATAAGGCATAATAATGTATTGTTTAAAATAGCTGCGTAAATGACCCATAATTTTTGTGTAATATTATAAAGATAGAAATGGTTACTGTGGGTTATCCTCAGGACATAGACATATACCATAACGAACTTTTTTGAAGATCTTTTTTAGATACACAATTACTGCAGAGAGAAGGAAAACTTGACACAAACCCTATACCAACCCGTCTGGCCAGCGTGGTTTCATCATCAGCCTATCGCAGTGCACTGCTGGACATAGGCCTCTCCCATTGCACGCCACTTAGATCGATTTTGGGCTTCTCGCATCCAGCTCGCGGTTTAGGAGCGTGGTTTAGTAGGCTAAAACCTCCTTTCTAAGGAGAGGCTTATGTCCAGCAGTGGACTATTAAAGGCTGTTGATGATGATGATTACGTGGTTCATTTAAAATAATGATCTATCTATTATATGATCTATCTTTAATATAATAATGGTCTATCTCGTAAGGTTTAGCTAGTGTTTGCAATGTAAGCGTACAAAAACATGTTTTTTTACAACAAATCTTTAAAATTATCTGATTTTCTCTACCATAATATGTATGGTATTATACATGTATATTCGTTACGTTACGTTTTACCTTACGTTCTTTGTGCTGTCGGTATTCCGATCAAAATAAAATAAAAATAAATTATTTAGAAATATATAAGTGTCTTTAACTGCAGTCTGGTTACAATGGTACAGGCTCTGTCTAGTTTGGGATCAGACTGTGATGTGTAAGATGTGTAAAAATATTATTATTATTACTTCTCACTTCTTCTAAGCTAATATTATAAACGCAACAGTGAGAGTGAGGTCAAAAGAGTCTAAACCTCCACATTCTGAGGGGTATATTTGCTAGCAGGCGACCCGTCTGAATAATTGCCCCCCTATACTTCAAAATAAAAAAAAAATCTTACGAGTTTATTCCACCATTATTAGGATATAATAATTTTAAGAGTCGAAAGTTTTTGATACCTGTTGGCTTAGTTACTTCCAAGCTGTGGGTTGATACC